AGTATTTATTTGAGTAGCTGTTTTCAGTTTATTTAGATATAAACCTATCAGTGAAGTTGCTGGGTCATAGGTTAAACTGGATCAAGAAGATGTGGTATATATACACAATGGAATATTGCTCTCTTAGATATTTTAAACATCTATATTACAAGGTACAAAAGAGAGACAAGTTCTGGATGTTCTTGGTTGGGCGTTGGGATTCTGAGGCATCTAACTTATGCCCATGAAAAGTAGGTTATGAGGAGAAAGCTGCATAGCTGCCAGCAAGTTGAAAACGGGGTTCCCAGCTTTAGGAACATATTTCAAAAGGTAACACAAATGGTTAGTTGCAGTCAGTCATTCCAAGAAACATAAAACTATTCATGCAGCAAGCTATGGACTAGGTCACAGTCATAAACTCTTTCACTAAAAATGTTTTTACTATTGATTATTGTTTTAATGGAAAGTAAAGTGAAAATGGTATTCAAAATGACTACATAACCAACTTTGCTAGAATGTCCCACTGTATGTTGCATGCACCATAGTCCCCCCTTACCCATGGTTTCGCTCTCTGTGGTTTCAGTTACCCCCAATCAATTGATGTATGAAAATATTCCAGAGACACCCCACTGATTGGGGAAAAAATCTTTGCACTACATACAATTGATAAGGGATTAATTACAAAGATATACAAAGAACTCACACAACTCAACAAAAATAAACAATCCAGTCAAGAAATGGGCAGAAGAACTTAAAAGACATTTCTCCAAAGAGGAAATGCAAATGGCCAACAGGCATATGAAAAAATGTTCAACATCCCTTATCATCAGGGAAATGCAAATCAAAACCACATTGAGATACCACCTTATACCAGTAAGAATGGCACATATCAACAAAATAAGCAACAACAAATGTTGGCGAAGATGTGGTGAAAAAGGAACTCTCTTACATTGCTGGTGGGAGTGCAAACTGGTCCAATCACTATGGAAAGCTGTCTGGAGGTTCCTCAGTCTACTAAAAATGGAGTTACCATATGACTGTCAATTCCACTCCTAGGGATCTACCCAAAGGACACAAAAACATTGATTCAAAAGAACACCTGTACTCCTATGTTTATTGCAGCACTGTTTACAATAGGTAAAACCTGGAAACAACCCAAATGCCCAAAAATAGATGACTGGATCAAGAAGATGTGGCATATATACACAATAGAATATTATTCAGCAATCAAAAAAGACAAAATCATTCCATTCACAGCAACATGGATGGAGCTAGAAGGAATTATGCTCGCAGTGAAATAAGCCAGAAGGAAAAAGAAAAATATTGCATGGTTTTACTTATAGCAAGAATATAGGGGAACCAAGTAAGACATCAGTGTTAAAAAATAGTAACAGTACAAAACACAACAAAGCAAAACCACACAATTATAAATCAGAGACATACTGCAGGGGAGGAGGAGGGAGAGGGATCAGAGGGAGGGAGGGAGGGGCACAGGGGACTGAGGTGATGGTGCATGGGTGCCTTGGGGAAGGAAACTCTATGGGGACTACACCTGAGGGGGTGGGGGGAAGTAAATATTGTTTAAAAATAAACAATGATGTAAAAAATAAAAAATATTAAAAAAAGAAAATATTCCATAGAGTAAGATATTCCAAGTGTGAGAGAAACCACATTCATAGAACTTTTATTACACTATACTGTTACAATTGTCCATGTTATTGTTAGTTACTACTGTCAATCTCTTACTATGCTAATTTGGTAATTAAATGTTATCATAGCTGTCTCTGTGTAGTGTAAGACAGTATAGATAGGGTTTGGTGCTATCTGTGGCTTCAGACACCCAAGGGGGATCTTGGAATATTTCTGGGGATAAAGAAACACTGCTGTAGGTCCTCCCCTGGTGGCGCAGGCAGTTGAGCACAGTGCTGTGCTGTCTGCAGCCTTGGCAGCACCGGTTCCATCCCAGCCGGCCGGGGAGGGTCCCACATGGTGCGGCAGACCTCTCCTGTCATGCCCGCTGCTCCCCTCAGCAATGAATTTCATTAGTCTGCCCATTTTGTTCCCTGCTCTGTCTCTGGTGAATCCTCTCACCCTCCCGTGCATCTGGCCTGTACCCCGGTTCTTGTATAAATAAATCAATAAATCTTAAAAAAAAAAGAAACACTACTGTAAATTAAACTTGGGTTAAATAAGAAATGCTTTCAGAAAAGATTAATTTATCTTTCAGTGTTGCAGAACTGTCAATAAAGAAAATGTTTGTTGACTTAAAGAGAATCAGAGATTGTTTCACCTGTAAAGGTGCCACCCAAGGTTGGTGTCTTGTTCAGATTGGCCAGATCATTTGTATGCCATGAAATTGAGACATTTGTGTTACTGATAAGCAATAATGGCTTTATTAATGGAAAGAGAGCTCAGGTCAAACTTGTGATTAGATTCAGAACTCCCCAAATGTGACCTTGACTTTAATTAATGATGTGGTTTAATAGAAATTTAAACCACATTTATAGAAATTAGTGAAGTGGCTCTTAGGGCAGTTACTCAAGGAAGGTACTTGAAAGGATTAAGAATGGCTTTAATTCTTCAAAATACTTTGTATAATCCTGTAACTTAGCTAAAATTTAATTTATTGGGGACAGTTTTTAATTGTTTTGTCGTGAAAGCATCTCAAGAATATTTCGAAAAGGGTCTTATAGAACGGTTTGATTTGTAGCAAGCCCAAAGACGAAAGAATTATGAACATCAGGATTATGGATGATTCTGTAAACATTATAAGGTATTAAAGCAAAATGGCACTAGTTTAATACTTATTGAGCACTTGCTGCATGCCAGACTCTGAAAAGATACAAAAAAAATTAAGATATGGTGCTTTCAAATATTTTTACCATAGTACAGATGAGGGAGGAATATGAATAAGTATCACTGAATTTTTCTCTTAATCTCAGTATTAAGAAATCAAATATTACACTTCTGGTTTGAATATGTGGGTAAAGATGTCATTTACTAAAAGGATTACAAATGAGAAGGAAAAATGATTAACTCAATTCTAGATAAAGTTCTGGAAAGTGAACTAAATCGAGGCCAAGAATTCAGAGAGGTGTGGGTTGGAGATGGGGACCTGAGTGTCACTAGCATGTAAGGGCTGGAAAACATAGTGGAAATAGATGATCCCTCCTTGTCAGTATGAGAAGGAGGTTCTAAAGAATAGAACTCCAAAAAGCTAGCATTTTAGGCAATATTGGAATAAAAGAGAGCCTTTAAAAAATACTGACACCTGGATTTCATTTCAAGATCTGATTTAAGTGGTCTGGGGCTAGGAGTGGGCAGCGGAATTTTACAGAGATACCCAGGTGATTCCATATGCAGGCAGGGTTGAAAACCATTGATATAAGGGATGGTGCAGGAAGAGTAAAGGAGGAACCTCTGAAAGAGAAAGAGAAACATAAAAATGGTTTTTCAGATGCCATATGGACAGAAGGGCTTTTCTAGAAATCGCAATCTGTCAATGGGGTTAAAAATTACAGAAAGGTTAATAATGTTGAGACTAAAAATGTTTCTGAGACTAGTGACTGATGGGATTAAAAAAGCCATTTCATGGGAGAGGGGGCTGTCACAGGCAGATGGGATGGACTCAGTGTATCCATGTGGGGAAGAAACCAACACCATACTGTGAATACTGAATATGCCTTCAAGGAGCTTGGCTGGGAAGGGAAGAGGGAGGCCATGACGACAGAGATAAGCAGGGTAGAGAAGGGTTTTAATTTTTAAAGATTTTTAAGACATTTCATCATATATTTAGACAGAGGGGTGGCATTAGTGTAGAGGAGTGGAGAAGACAAGAAGGGGGAAAAAGAATGAGGATTTGCTGGAATAAGGTCCTGGGGTAGATAAAAGTTGGGCAAACACATAAGATCTTCAATTGATGGCACTTTTTGTCCTAAGAAATGTTAAGATCTAAACATTTTTGGGCCTCCCTGGTGGAGCAGGGGTTAAAGTCTCAATGCTATCAAGCTATCACCAGCCACTGTGGCATGAGTTCGATCTCCAGCCAGGGAGCTAATCCACCTGGCACAGCAGACCTCTCCTGCCTCGCCTGCTGCTCTCCTCAGCAGTGTATTTCAGTAGATCCTCTTGTTCTGCTTCCCACTCTGCCTCTGGCAAATCCTCTCACCCCACACACCTCTGGCCTACACCCCAGCTCTTGTATGCATAAATAAATGAAATAAATCTAAAAAAAGATTTAAATATTTTCTTTTGTTATGTTTTCAAAATGTAATTTCAAAGAAAATTCTCAATAAGCCCAAATATTTAAAATCAAATGCAGTATCTCTAATATGTCTTAAATTTAAATAAAAACTTCAGTTCTAATCATAAATACAAAGCAATGGAAAAATTATTTAAAGGTGATAAATAACACACTGAATGATATAAAATGATTATTTCTTTTAATTTTGATACAATAATAATTTTAACACCACAGTTTTGTCAAATGCAATTCAAGTAAGTCCCTGATTTTTTTCTAAGGAAGAGTATTTTTGAAGCTGAATCATAAATCACACATTGTACCCCAGCAAAATTACCATTTCATGGCATTTGCATCAAACCTATTATCCTTGTGTTCTGTTGCCTAGCTACTGGAATTCTGAAGTTTAATGCATTTTAGATGGATATTTAAATTTCAAACAGAATTTCAGCTATGCAGTCTACAGATTACAGTTGAGCACATCTGCTTACTTAGATTTCCAAAGGAAACTTCTTTGTTTGCAAGGGCTCAGAATTGCTAGATTTTGGAGTAGGACACATTGATTTTTATTGGAGGACATTCAACAGCACATGTTTAGACAATAAATTCATGCGAGATTTTTACATCTGTTTTTGTTTACTACAGGCATGGAGAAGAGAAAATCTTTTCTTGTCTTTATTAACTGCTTAAGGCTTTAATTTTATGATTTATGTCCTACTTCCTTAATATAATTTTGCACATAACATACACATGCAGGAATCTTTATAATATCTTCACTTACCTGTTCCCAAGCAAATACATGTTGATTGAAATAATACTGAATTTGTTCATTTGCAATGTTAATGCACAGCTGTTCAAAGGAATTTTTTTTGAAATTTTCAAATCCAAATATATCCAGAATGCCAATGCTCAGTTCATCACCATCCCCACTGGAAAATTAAAGAAGCATTATTTTCAGTTCCAACTGAAGAGAGTACAGTTTTGTGACTTAGCTAAGGAACTACTACCAGGACAGACACTTAGAAGGAAATTTTCTTAAATGAAAAAGTTTCCCTTCATAGAACATAAAGGTAGGTAGCATCATTTTTAATATGTCAATGGTATAACATTTTCCTATATAATATAGAAATGACCCCAATGTTATCTTATCTACTTAAAAGAAACTTTTTCCCCCATGGCTTTGTGAGCACAAGCTCACAGACCTGAATGAGTCTTGAATAACAGGAAAAACTCAGCTAGCATGCAGAACACAGCAAAAATATGTTCAATAAACATAACATTAGAAAAGCAAAAATTCTTAGAGAGTGTATATTTCGTGGTTTATTTCAGAACAACAATTAAAAAAGTTCTTGCCAAAATATTTTAATTATTTCAAAGAATTATTTATTTTTGGCCAGAGGTGTGGGGGGGGGGTGAGAGGATTCACCAGAGACAGAGTGAGGAACAGAACAGGCAGACTGACTGAAATACACTGCTGAGGGGATCAGTGGGAAAGACAGGAGAGGTCTGCTGCGCCATGTGGATATCTCCCTGGCTGGGGATCAAACTCATGCTGCAGAGGCTGCAGATAGCTACATAGGTTACGTCTTAACCCCCTGCACTACAAGGGAGGCCCTCACTCAGAATCTTTTAATATAGAACAAAAGGTAACCTGGAGATAAATCTATTTATTTATGAAATAAATCTTTAAAAATACAATTACATACTAGTATTTTATAGTTAAATATAAATTTCGTTCCTGTTTTTCCACAGCAGTTACCACTTCACTGGAAGTTCAATACTTGGTTTAAAAGTTTGCCTCTCCCCCAAGGGATATATATACTGTAAGGTTATTTTCATGTGAGTTTAAAAAGGAAAGTACAAATATTTCCCTTTGTGCTCACTAATTATGTAATCTAGGTTACTCTTAGGGTTTTGTAAGGAAGTGATTTGGAAATGACAGCTAGCTACTGCATGCTGTGAGCTAGAGGATACTGTCTATATTTGGATGAATTGAATTCAGACTGTAGATTTACAGACACTGAATATGTGATAGGATTGACAAAAGGAAAACTACCCGAGTATGTTTGAATAGTTCTATTTTTTAATAGTAAGTCTAACTGTAGTTATATCAGGCATATTGTCAACTTAAAATTTATGCCGGTTTAGTCAAAATGATTATTCTACTATCTCATCACATAGAATCCCACTGAGATAAATATTTAACTGGTATAGTGAAGTGCTAGAGCCAGGAGAACCTTCTAGATGATCAAATTCAGGGATTCTTAAACTGGGATCAGTGGCCTTCAAGGGGTCTGTAATCACAGCTATGTGCAATATTTGGGTAGGTATGTACTAATATATTAATTTTTAATTTTGGAGTGAAGGACACAGTTGTCAAGAGATTCTGAAATTGCTCCAAGTTAGCTGCCAATAACTAAGGCCACTGACTTTTTATTTCATGCCCTTAGTTATATGAGACCTTTATTTATATTTATATGAGGATGTAGAGACACACAGAAATGCATAACCTTTCCCAGAATCACATATCAAGCTGGTGGAAAAGCCAGGCACAGAAGATAGGCTTTTTTTTTTTTTAAATGGAAAGTACATTTTTTTTTAAAGATTTATTTATTTATTTATATAAGCACTGGGTACAGTCAGAAGCACGGGAGGGTGAGAGAATTCACCAGAGCCAGAGCGGGTAACAGAACAGGCAGACTAACGAAGTACACTGCTGAGGGGAGCAGTGGGCAGCAGGAGAGGTCTGCGCGCCATGTGGGACCCTCACTGGTGGCCGGGGATCGAACCAGCGCTGCAGAGGCTGTGGGCAGCCTCGCAGGCCAGCGCTCAACCGCTGCACCACCAGGGGAGGCCCAAGATAGGCTTTTTGATATCTTATTGCAAATCTAGACAGATTAAACAGAAGTACTAGAGTGATCGCTTTAATTTTTATTATTTTTTTATCATTGAAATTTTTTTCTTATTATTTTTAAACATTTATGAATAATGAGTTGATACTAGTCATTACATAAAAAGAACTGCTGAGCTGTATCTTTTCTTTTTTTAAATTTTTAAACATACTTGTTTATTTTTTCATGAAAATCAAATAAACATTCCATAAAATGTTCTTTTAAACATTTCATAAAAACATAAAATTCTAAAATTTAGTTTTCATTAGTGTATGAAAAGGAAAGTGACTATGGGGCAGATGGGTTATAGTGGGATTTGGTAGATCACGCCCTTTGGATGCCATTAGTGTCAAACATGCAGATGATAACTAACAAAATGAGGTCAGATGTTGAATATCTTGCTTATATTCTATGGAATATCCATATATTGAAAAATTCTTGAATATTTCCACTACCACGTGAATGCTTGGCATCATATAGATAGACACACATGAACATACGTTCCATGATGATCATGAAATCATAATGGGCTACCTGGATTGTGGTTTGCAGATTTAGTTAGATGAGGCAAAATTAACAGGGAGGTAAAGAAACACACTTCAGGATAATTTTGAGTGGATAATATGGCATAATTTGTATTTTAGTGGAAATAGTACAATAAATTGAATGCCTGAAATGTGTATAAAATGGTCTCCTGTTTAGTAAGCAAGCATGAATGAAGAGATCTTAAAATAGGTATCCAATTTATTTGGGCACAATTTCTAGAGATTGTGTAACTTACGTCAGAGCAAACTTTTATTTTTTTTTTTTGTTCTTTTATAGAGGCATGTTTTATTTATTTATTTGTTTGTTTGTTCGTTTGTTTCGTTTATACATGCACTGGGTACAGTCAGAAGCGCGGGAGGGTGAGAGAATTCACCAGAGCCAGAGCGGGGAGCAGAGCAGGCAGAAGGACTGAAGTACACTGCTGAGGGGAGCAGCGGGCAGCAGGAGAGGTCTGCGCGCCATGTGGGACCCTCCTCCGGTGGCCGGGGAGCAGCCGGGGATCGAACCAGCGCTGCAGAGGCTGCGGGCAGCTTCGCAACCCAGCACTCAACCGCTGCGCCACCGGGGAGGCCCCAGAGCAAACTTTTAGATGTAAATGTAAGGACGTATATCTATGCATAAACTTGGCATATAGAGAGCATTTAGTCAGTGAGGGCCACAGTTGTTTTTATTTCTAAGATGGAGATAGTAGGCAGGATATACACTTAGGGCTCAATGGTATTATCATTCATATTTTGGCTCTACCAATTTCTATTTATTTGAAATATTTCTGAATCAAATTTCATTGGAGGTCATAATACCTACCCTTATGGGGTATTACCATAAGGGTATTACCTACCCTAATGAGTTGAAGTATGAAGAGAAGGTTTTTTTTTTGCTTTCAAGATTTAATTTTAACTCTCAAAACAAAAACAGAACTGCTGAATTGATATTTTATGCAAATATAAAATGGTATATATTTCATAGTTTATCTTCTAATTAAAATACATAATAGTTAAGAGGTCACATCAAAAAGATAGACAACTACCACATGATCTCACTTACATGAGGAATCTAAAAAACGAACACAAGACTAAGTTCATAGATACAAATAATAGATTGGTAGTTGTCAGAGATGGGGTAGCGAATGGGTGAAACGTGTTAAGAAGGTCAAAATATACACTAAGAGTCAAACTACCACTTAAAAAATAAGTCATTGGATGTAATGTATAGCTTCTTTACTATAGTTGATTAAATGTGTTGCAGATTTGAAAGCTGCCGAGGGAGTAGATCTTAAAAATTCTCATCAAAAGAAAAATTTTTGTAACTGTGTATGGTGATATATGTTAACTAGATTTACCATGCAGATCATTTTGCATTATATACAAACCTGGAATCATTATGTTGTATACCTAAACCTGATATGTCAATCATATCTAAAAGAGGTCACATTAAAAATTCACTTTGTTTATTCATGTTGCTATAGTTTTTTATGTTCCAGCAATTTAAAACTTTTTAAGCTAGCTGGCATAATGAAGTGGTACTATTAGGCAGTAAAGCAGATCCTCCAAAATATAACTGATAATTAAATGATACCAATCAGAAACATCATCAAAGGGACTCATACACAAATCAATAAATTAGAAAAGAGATTTATATCAATGGACATCTGGGAAAAAAGGTTGCTATAAATCTTTTACCTTGGTGAGGTGTCACACTTCAACAAGCTGTTAATACGACTGACTATCCAACTAAAGAGACGCCCATATAAAGTTTTAGCCATAGCATCTCTAACATCAGTAGCTTTTTCTACAGTGTTGGGTCTTATAATTGTTTCTCCTCTAGTGACCACACAGTGGGAGGTGAGAGCTTCCTGTAGCTCATCTGCCTGAATGTAAAGCAAAGAAGCAGCTAAAAAAAGAAACAGAAATAAGCAGAAGCAGCATTAGAAGAAATGATGGCAAAGAGTTACTTACCTGAAAACAAAAAAAGTCTTAATTAACCTTCTTCAAATAACATGAAATAATTATGTGAAATATTTATAATGTAAAAATAAGCTTTCATTCAAGAGTAGTACTATGTTACCTTCTTGGTAATTTTTGTCTACTTACCTTGACTGGTGAAATGCTTGCTGCTGTGTACTGCAGTACATCCCAAACCAAAATGGCTGACCTAATGAAGCATCTGCACAGGTGAATGGCTATGTGATGCCAAACACAATTTTACTGAATTTATGATAAATAATTTAAAAAGGCAATTAACAGATTTGAAAAAATTTGTATACCTTGCTCATATACACATTTTCAAAATGTAGAAATTGGATGGTTACTGAGACTGCAGGGCTATAGCCAAACAGATGTATTTTAGGAACCTTCGGCAATTAGATACGATAATATACATAGAAAACCCTAAAAACTCCACTAAAAAACTAATTGAAATAATAAATCTGTATGGCAAAGTAGTAGGTTACAAAATCAATCCAAAAAATCAGTTGTGTTCCTATATGTAAATGAGATAAAGAAATTATGTAAATGAGCTAGAGAAAGAAATCAAAAAAGAAATGGAAATATAAACCCTGCTCATGGATCAAAAAAATTAACATTGTTAAAATGTCCACCTTACACAAGGCAAAATACAAATTCAATGCAATCCCTATCAAAGTTTCAATGGCATACTTTAAAGAAATAGAACAAACATTACCAAAATTCACATGGAACCACAAAAGACCCAAATAGCCAAAACTATCCTGACAGAAAGGAAGAAGAGTGGTATCACACACACAAATTTGAAATCACACTGTGAAGCTAATCAAAACAGTATGGATCTGGGGAAAAAAAAAAAAACATATACAGACCAATGGAATAGAACTGAGAGCCAAGAAATAAACCCACACTTAATGTGGACAGTTACTCTGACAAAGGAGTCAAGAGTAAACAATGGGGAACAGAAAGTCTCTTCAACAAATGCTGTTGGGAAAACTGGACAGGCTCCTGAAAAAGAATGAAACTAGACCATCATCTCATGCATACACAAAAATTAAGACCAAAAGCATTAAAGATTTGGAAATAAAACTTAAAGCCATAAAATACATAGAAGAAAACATAGGCAAAACATGACATTGTGGATTCATCTCCAATGACAAGAGAAACAAAGGAAAATATAAACAAATGGGAGTAAAAGCTAAAAACTTCTGCACAGTGAAAGTAACTATCATTAAAACAAAAAGACATTATAATGAATGAGAGTAAATATTTGCACATCATATATCTGACATGGGGCTGATATCCAAGATCTACAAAGAATTCCATACAAGTTAACAAAAAGAAGACAAAAGCCTAACCAAAAATTGGGTGGAATAGTGAAATAGACATTTATCAAAAGAACACATAGAGATGCCCCCAACAGGTACATGAAAAAGTGTTTGTCATCATCTACCATCAGGGGAATGCTAATCAAAACCACGATGAGATGCCATCTCACATTTGTGAGAATGATCCAAATCAAAAAGACCAGAAAGAACAAGTGTTGGTGAATATGTGGAGAAAAAAGAACCCTTGTGCATTGCTGGTGGGACTATAGACTGGTCCAGCCCCATGGAAAACTGTACAGAGGTTTCTCAATATATTAACCTATAATCTAGCAATTCTACTAGTAATTCCATATGATCCTGCAGTTCTACTCTTAGGTATCTATCTGAATAATGAAAAACACTAACTCAAAGGAATATAAGCACTCCTATGTTCACTGCTGCAATATTTACAATAGCTAAGTTATGGAAACAACCTAAGTGCCCAAGGGCAGAGGTGTGACTTAAGAAAATATAGTATATACATACAATGGAATATATCTCAGCTATTAAAAAAAGATGAAATTTTTCCATTTGTGATATGGATGAAACTGGATAGGGTTGTGCTTATTGAAATAAATAAGAAGAAAGACAAATACCGTACCATTTCAATCACTTGTGGAATATAAAGAAAACAAAGGAACAGATAAAACTAAACCCAAACAAACCCTTTAAGTCTGACTGCAGAACTGATACTACCAGATTGGGAGAATAAGAGGGGCGAGTGGGGAGCAAAGGGTTGGGAAGCAAAGGGTAGATTATGGTAGAGGATTATGGTGCTTTGGTGGTGGGCTTGGAATGGTATCTTTGGTTATGAAAGAACCAATAAGATATATATGTGTGAATAGGCACACATGCTGATATTAAAAGTCTTAAGTACATTTTAAAAACAAACTATGTCATTGAAGATATTAGTGGGAAACCTTAAATTATGGGAATATTCATCAAACTTGGCTAGTAAGAGAAGAGTTTATTTGAAGCAAATACCATGATATACATTTTGTCATGTAGAAAATGACTGCAAAACTAATTAACCCAGGATCAATGTATATAACAAAATCCTCCCACAATGAAATTAAACACACAGCTCTTCATTACTTATTAAGTGATATAAATACTAAATGTACAAGACAATAACCTGAACTTTTTTCAGGTCAGTTTACTAAATTTTAATTATATTTTCTGTGTTTTTCCAATGAAATGTAAATAGTTCCTAGTCATGAAAGTCTACTCTTTAGAAATGTTTTCTACAGTAATTAGTTAATTTGTAAGCATGAAGATCTTTTTAAACATTAAACTTGAAAAGAAGGTAATAACACTCACAGTTTTCCAGAGCTGTGTGATTAGAAATGTGGCTCTTGTCAATCTGGTATTCAGTTGCTACAGAAGAAAATTCAATGTTTCCCACATTCAGGATTGCAGCCAGGACACTGTATATACTACCAAGTTGCTGAAACACACCACAGAAATGTTAGCATCACTCTCCCCTGGAGTATATAGCAAGGCAGTGACTCTGGCTGGGTGCAGACTGGTAAGAATCTTTCACCTCCAGCACACCACGGTCATCTCACAGACTATGGTGCCAGATTAAGAGACATAAGTAGGCAAGGATCCAAGCAGACTTGGCCTCATTAGCTAACTAACTATTGTAATTTTAGAGGTAAGCATGATGGCTGTTACTCAGCAAGTGCTTAAAGATATTTTATTGATACAAATATGAATTAAAAAAAAACATTAAGGCATTCTCAGAGGAATGAAAACTATCTAATTCATTAGACCACAGACAAATCTATCCATGAGAAACTTAACTTCAGAACATAATGTGGTCATTTCTATCTGATCATTTTCCTTGAGAGCATTGTAAAATGAGTTTACATGTGTGGATAAAGGAAAATTAAGGAAGAAAAAAATCAAAAGAACCCAGCACCAAAATCAAAAGATGCACCCAATTTAAATATAGGCCTGAGAACTTTAAACTACAGCTTAGGGTTTATAGTCTTACTACATTTTTACCATAAAGTACTAAATAAGGCACAGTGAAGATATATTCAGAAACACACACACACACACAGAATTTCCATAGACTCCTTGACAAATGAGTCATTTCTTGGAGGTATTTTGTCAAGAAGCCTGGTAATTCTAGGTATCATTCCAACTATGTCCACAGTGCAGTGAGGTACAGGAAAGAGATAAAATCCTTCATTGTTTTCTTATGTTGTTACATTTATTCTAGCCCAGCTCCTGTACTTAATAAAAACGATTATCCCATCTATTTCAATATTCTAAATCAAGATAGATGTTGGATATGGAAAAAAAAAAACTTCAGGAATATTCATTCACATATAACATAACATACATTAATGTATATTAAATGAACAGACACATTAAAATAAATATATTTGTGGACTGAATGTGTGTGCCTACACACTGATTTATCCAATTCAGCCAGGCACTGGTCTAGTCATAGGGAATTCTACAGCAGGCAAGACTTGAGATCCTTGTTCCCTTGGATGTTTGTTTAGGCAGTGGGAAGACAGACATTCAGTAAATAAACAAATAGATAAGCATGTAAGAAAAAGACCATGAAAAAAATAAAATGAAGAGGTACAACAGAGAGTGACTGGGAAAGCTTTCTTAGCTTGGGAGGTGAGGATCATTTTCTGGATTTGTATATGGGTGATTCCTATGTGTCTTTTTACATTTTATAGGTTTTTAAATTAACAAACTTTATTTTTAAGCAGTTTTAGGTTCACAGCAAAATTTAGTGGCAAATACAGAGCTCCCATATAACCCTAGTCCTGGAAACACAAAGCCATCGCAAATATCAACATCTGACAGGAGTGTGGTACTCATGTTACAACTGATGAGCCTACACTGAAACATTATCACCCAAACATTATCATAGCTTACATCAGGGCTCACTCTTGGTGAAGTTGTTTAGAGGGTATAGCAAAGCAGAACAGTTACTGTACAGCATGACCTAAGAATGGACCAGCTCTACTGGGGGAGGCAGTACACTTCTTTTTAATTATAGTTATTGAGTGGCATTGATTTACAACACTGTATGATCCAAAGGTATGGAATTATAACTTATTTTATGCTTTTTTGAATGAAAAATTGAGGTTATCATCAAATGACTAAATGGGACTTATCTATCCATCCAATCTTGACCAAAAACAATTCTAAAAAATGAACTATTTTGCAGAAATTCAACAACTTGTGTGATGTTTCAAAGTATGTAACAATTTCTTTCAAAAATTTTATTGGATAATAACTGAAGTCACAACTGCAAACGCTGAATAAAATGAAATAGCTTGTGACTGCAGACCAGCATAAAAAGGTGAGCAAAATTAAGGCTGAAACAAAATACCACTGAGACATAAGATATATGACTTTGTGCAAAGAAAAACACATAAAATTCCTATCATGACATGATAAAAATTGCCTCTGAATGAGTTGAAACTAAAACTATTAATCATTTATTTTAAAACTTTGGCAGGAAAATGGCTTAGGAAATCATATGTTTTTAAAAGTTTTAGAGTTTTCTAATTCATGTTATTTTTAGAGGATATCTGACTTTGATTTGCCTGTCATTCCTTTGGATTGTGCTGAATCACAAATGTGCAAGTGAACCAGAAACCCTCAGAATATTTAAAGCAACACATACACTGTGGATGCTGTCAAGACCCAGCAGTGATAGAAAAGGAGAGACAGGAAGATTCTTTATTGAAAGCTTCCAGAAACTGTGCTGCAGTAGAAGGGGAAGGTGCATGCTGTGCTTAGAGGATGTGACAACCATGCTACTTAACTTGATACCAAAGTTGCTTCTTTCCAAAATGGAATAGAAACAGCTACTGACAAAGGACATGGCCAACTAAATCAGTGAAATCATATTAAATCAGGACTGGGCTAGAAAAGAACTAAACATCCAGTTGGTTTAATTCTGTTGTCTCCAGACTGGAGAGTGTGATAACTTTCTGAGTCTCTGTTTTTAGATGGGAATTAGCTTCTCCCTGGGAGAGTCACCTTAAACCTGTGAAAAGTCTCCACACAATATCTAGCAGTAGTGGGGGTGCTTTCAGAAACGGATGTTGTTTTCCTTTATCCTAAGCTGTATGTTTGGATGTCCAATAAACACTGAGTAAGTTTACGTTTGGAATATACCACTTTAAATAAATGAATTCTACTTGCCAGTAGATGGTAACAGTAGGACTGGCTTCATTTTAATGTTACTAAACATTGCTCTTCCATGCAAGAGAGAATAGCTAGCAAACATAAGTGAAACACTGCCTGTAATGAGCGGGACTTAGAAGTAAACAAACCAATTAAAAATGATTCCCTGTTTCCAAGATAGCAACTTCTGGGGGTGAGAATTAGTAAGATCAGCTTTTCTGATGACAAAAACAGGGAAAAGAACTACAGAGGCTCAGCCCCTGGTCAGATGCAGGAGCTACTTGCCTGTGTCCACCGTCCTTCCATTTTGGAGGGTGCCCTGAGATCCAACCAATCTCTCCTGTTTTCCCCTAACCAGATAACCAACAGAGCCAGACTGCAGTGCAAAGGAGCAGTTACTAATAACAACTGTCATCTAATGACCAATGATTGGAGAAAAAGGTCACTGCTACTTTTTTTTTATCATTTACTGTACCCCATATAAACTGACTTCTGCTTCAAGAGGTGGAATAACTCCAGAACTTACATCACCTTGTCTCCATAGAAACAAACTGTGGGAGGTATGAGGGAAAGGTTAGGGAGAGGCTAAGGAGGGGATCTGATTAAAGGGAGGAGTCCTTAGTCATTTGAATTTGAAATTCTGCAGAGGAAAGTGAGGAAGATGCACTCGGAACATGTCACATCCAGGAAGGAACTGGGGTGGAGGCAGAGTTAGGGTTAATGCCATGTTAGTCAGCAAGAGCAGAAAATTTTCTATTTTTACTCCTGATAAAGCTAACCTAGGATTAATACTGAACTGAAACACTCAGAGGAGTGTACATATCTCTCTCTCTGTGTGTGTGTGTGTGTGTGTGTGTAGTATTGTGTCTACAAGCAGGATTTTTATGAGCAGGGACATAAGTATGGAATACTGGACTGTGGATACCGGGCTGTTAACATCCACAAGCTGGTAAAAGGGATAGTGAGCTGGTGTGAATGGAGTGGGGTGAGATGGTGAAGGGAGAGAGGAACAAAAATTTTTTTAAAAAGACTGCTCTAGAAATTGACAAGCTGATCCTGAAATTCACATAGAAATTGAAGGGACTAACATAATCTTGGAATAGAACAAAGTTGGAGAGTTCAAAGTTATTACAAAGTGACAGTAATCAAGAGAGTGTGATACTGGCATAAAGATAGACATATAGATTAATAGAATAGAATTAAGAGATCAGAAACAGTGTTTATATTTGTGGTCAATTGATTTTCAAGAAAGATGCCATTCAATGGGTAAATAATAGCCTTTCAAAAAATGGTGGTGGTACAAGTGAATATTTGCAGGCAAAAGACCACAGACTCCAATCTGATTCTAGATAAAAATTAAGTCAATGTGGAACAAAGACCTGAATGTCAGAGTTAAAGCTATAGAAGTCCTGGAAGAAAACTTAGGCATAAATTTTGGTGAATTGACTGTGGAATAGGGGCAACCAGAAGGGGCAGGGAGGGGCAAGGAGAGAGATGAGAACAAAGCAGGGAGGGGCCACAGGGCCTGGGGGGTGGACAATGGGTTCTTTGGTTGCAGGTGCACTGTGGCAACAATGCCTAAAGGGGGGTCCAACACTTTCAATATAGAAACAATGATTGAAACCAACATTAACTCAATTATATATATATCTATTTAAAGATTTATTTATTTATACATACAAGAAATGGGGTACAGGCCAGAGGTGTGGGGGTGATTAAGTCACAGCACTATGAAGCTATCTACAGCCACTGCAGGACGAGTTCAATAAAATATATTTTAAAAAGAAAGACAATTATAAGGATTTTCATGCAAAAAAATACTCTCACTTGGAAAGGAATTAAAAAAAATCTTAGTGACTTTGAATTATATAATGCTATCTTATACGTGATATCAAAATACCCAGCAACAAAAGACTATGTAAATATTACATTAGAATTAATTTAATAAAAATTAAAAACTTTTCTGCATCAAAGAACACGATCAAGAAAGCAAAAAGACAACAAATGGTAGAAAAAAATGCAAATGATGTATCTGACAGGGAACTGGTACCTAGAATAAAAAGAATTTTTACAACTCAATAACAAAGGAAAATCTAATTAAAAACCAGAGAAAGGATCTGAATAGATATTTCCCCAAAGAAGATGTGTAAATTACCACAAGTACCTTAAAAGGTTTAGCATCATAACCCACAAGGAAAATGCAAATCAAAACCACAATGAGTCACTACTTTCATCCACTAAGATCACTATAACAAAAAAGAAAAATAGGAAGTGTTGGGAAGGATGTAGAGAAATTGGAACCTATATAAACTATTGTCTAGCACGTAAGATGTCCTGGCTGCTTTGGAAAACAGTGTGGCAGTTCCTCTAAAGGGTAAACATAGAATTACCCTATTACTCAGTAATCTATTCCTAGGAATAGGCCAAAGAAATAAAAACATATGATCATACAAACCCTTGTACACAAATGTTCACAGCAGCATTATTCACAATGGCCAAAAAATGGAAAAAACCTAAACATCTATCAACTGTCAAATGGATAAGATAAATATCCATAAAATGAATTAATAGTCAATGATAAAAAGAAATAAAGTACTGATACACACTACAACATGGATAAACCTTGAAAATATTATGCATAGTGAGAGAAGTCAGTCACCAAGGACCACATCACTTTGTATGAAATGTCTAGAATAAACAAATCTATACAGATAGAAATAGGATGGGAATGAGGAAAAATTGCTAATCACTAGACTGTTTCATTTTTTTTTTTTTTATAGAGGCATGTTTTTATTTATTTATTATTTTATTTGCTTGTTTTTGTTTATACATGCACTGGGTACAGTCAGAAGCACGGGAGGGTGAGAGAATTCACCAGAGCCAGAGCGGGGAGCAGAGCAGGCAGAAGGACCGAAGTACACTGCTGAGGGGAGCAGCGGGCGGCAGGAGAGGTCTGCGCGCCATGTGGGACCCTCCTCTAGTGGCCGGGGAGCAGCCGGGGATCGAACCGGCGCCGCAGAGGCCGCGGGCAGCTTCGCAACCCAGCGCTCAACCGCTGCGCCACCGGGGAGGCCCTAGACTGTTTCATTTTGAGGTGAAACATTCAGGACATGAAATATTCTAAAAGTGTATGGTGGGCATCCCTGGTGGCCTAGGGGTTAAGTCTCAGTGCTGTCACCACTACAACTTAAGTTTGATCCCTGGCTAAGGAATTAATCCACACATGGCACAGCAGACCTCTCTTGTCTCGTGTGCTGCTCCCCTCAGCAGTTTATTTTAGCAAATCTGCCTGTTCTGCTTCCCACTCTGTCTCTGGTGAGTCCTCTCATCCCCCAGCACCTCTGCCCTATATCCCAGTTCTTTTATGGCCAAACAAAAGGGTTATAGTGATGGATATATCCCTCCGAGAACATATTAGAAGTCACTGAAATGTACATACTAATGGCTGACATGTATGCTATGTGAATTACATGTTAATAAGGTTGTTATGAAGGAAAACTGCAGTTTTCTTTGTAAGATAGTCACATTTAGGCATTTATGCAAAATTATATATAAGTGAGAGATTCCAGTTCAAATAAAAGATTAAGAATAAAACTAAACTCAATTATATATCATCTATAAGTCAAATAATTATAGTTATTTCTTAAGTTCATTTCAATAATTAAAAGCATAATTCACATAAAACACTTAGCACAATGTCTGGCATATATTAATCACTCAATAAATCCTCTTACCTTTAGTGATGACAAAAAGACACTTCATATAGAGGTTTAAATATTTTTCACACTTACCTCCATTGTAAAACCTATGACCTTGAAACATTGCTCAATTAATTCATACTGGGATTTATAAAAACTATTATTCATCATGTCCTGTACTGTTCTGAGGTGGTCATTTTGTAGGTATCTGAAAAAAAATATGAAAGGATGGGTAAACATGTAAAGTTAAGTGAAAAATAAACATTATTTACAAACGTACAACCAGTTGGGTTACCTGGGAGGCTTATTTTCAGGCAATTTATAATGGGCTAGTTTCTTCTTTTCTGCTAAACCAGCATAGATATAGTAAAAAATATGAAAATTCTTTTCTCCACTGAAAGATACAAGACATTTTCAGTAAGGTAGTTAGTAATATTTATTAATTGTTAAAATTACTCAGCAATCTAATTATTAGAACAACAACAGCTGTATCAATGTGGGCTTGCCCAAATACTAGATTTTGGCTTTCTATGGCTATCAATACTGTCATTATTTTCAAGAACTACTGTCATTAAATTAAGGACACTGTTCAGCACTATATGTGAATCATTCAACACCAATTTATGAGTGAGTACCAGGCACTGTTCTGGGCATTGCCCATGGGAGCAGACAGAAAAATAAGCAAATAAAAAATATATATAACATTCCAGATGGTATAAGTGCTATATTATCTCAAGTAACCCATGCAGTTTGCTCATTTTACATGTAAGGAAACTGAGGCTTAAGGGTTACTGATCTCCCTTCAGATCATAGAACTGAAGGCTAAACTGATTCAAACCAGGGCTGTTTGACTCCAAAATCCATGTCTTTAGGCAGCTTGTTAATGAGGAATCTATTTCTTGTGAGTCTCAAAATCAAGAACTCTGCATATATATATGTATGTATGTATGTATGTATGTATGTATGTATGTATGTATGTATAAACACCAAATTCCAATTCCAATCTTTGGAATAATACAATTAAGGGAATGTGGGTTGCAACAATGTGAGAATCTAGTACCTGATGTTCACAACTTAATTTTTTTTTTTTTTTAAATTTCAAAAAGTATTTATTTTGTAGCCACAACACAGCCTTATGTTGTGGCACTTAATAATTCTATTATCTTACTCATTCCCACATTATTCCTGGAAGACAGGCCCATTTTACAGAATGGAGAGAGTAAAGAGTGGTTTTCCAGGATTATGTAGTTGGTGGAAGTGCATATAGCAAATTCTCATTTTATCACCTTTTTTTCAAGCAACCTTAGTCAAGTTACTGCCTTTCTCTCTAAGTCTTGGTTTTCATATCGCCATATGAAGATACAAAATTATCTTTAGCTCCAAAATAACATCAACTTAACTTCTGAGATCTCAGGGATCCCCTGAGCATGGCAACAATTAGAAAATAATAACAAATCTGATAAATATGAATCCAACTATACACATAATTATTTTGAACATCAAAACATTGTCAGAGGGATCAAAAATCAAGATCCAACTATATGTTGTCTACAAAAAAAATGCACATTATAAATAATGACACATACAGATTAAAAGTAAATGGATGGAGAAAAATATACACTAATGAATGAAAAGAAGGAGCAACTACATTAACTTCAGAAAGGGCAGAATTCAAAGTAAGGAAGTTATCAAAGATTAAAAGAGGAGAGAGGCTTTTGTTCCCAGGTTTTAGCACAAAAAAAAAAGAAAGAAAAGAAAAAAGAAAGAAAAGGAGAGACACCTTCACAGTAAAGTTTCTTTAAATTTAATGATAAAGGATTCAGTTCTCCAAAAGACACAATAATCCTTAATGTGTATGGGCCTAATAACAGAGCATCAAACTACTGGAAGCAAAAACTAATAGAACTGGTAGGACAAACAGATGAGTCCAAGAGTGTAGTTGAAGACTTCAACACACTTCTATCAGAAATGGACAGATCCAGCCAGCAGAAAGTCAGTAAGGACACACTTGAATGCAACAACACCATCAATCAACTGGACATAATTGACATCTAAAAACTACTTCACCAACAACAGCAGAATTTACGTTCCTCTCAAGCTCACCTGGAACATTTACCAAGAGAGACCACATTCTGGCCCATAAAAACGATATGACAAATTTAAAGTAATAGAATGTATATAATCTCTGCTTTTGGACCACAGTGGAATTAAATCAGAAATCAGTAACAAAAAGAAAACTGGAAAATTCCAAAATAGGTGGAAATTGAATTATGTACTTCTAAATAACAAATGGGTGAAAGAAGAAATCTCAAGGGAAATCAAAAAATATTTTGAACAAGATGAAAATAAAAATGCAACTTATCAAAACTTTTGGGACAGATTCCTATTCTTCCTTGTTAGTATTTCAAAAAGAAGAAAGACATTTTGAAAGAGAAAAGTAACTAATCAATGCCATTGATTAGTATGCATTCTGGGTTGAGGCTGGAAAGGCAGAGAGGAAGGAATTCTAAATGTCCAGGAAATCTGAATCTTTCAAATGACTGGGTCGGAGGGAACAACCTTAAGATAAAACAGCGGGAAAGGAATGCAGAGAGGAGGTGTAAAAGTTATTACAGAAATCAACACCAAAGTACTTAGACATGGAGAGTGAAGGGAGGGTCAGAGGTTTTATATAAATAATCATTCCTTTCCTTAATAAAGGGGGTTAAAGGAAAAGTAACACGTTTGGGACAATGCATGTGGACTTGAATTCTAGATGATAACAGGGTATCAAGGGAGTTGGAAATGAACGAAAAAGAAGAGAGTGAACAGTACATCTGTGGATCTCAATAACACAGGTGTCCACATCGATCACACAGAGTTACCTATTGAAATAAGATCAGAAGAAACTGCTCAGCAAAAGAGAAACACTTCATTCCAAGGACAAATTTTTGCTGAACAAAAATTTTAGGAATGTGTGGATGAATCTAAGTCTGAGAAGGAAATTTCAAGAGACATGAGAGGAATCAGGAGAATCCAGTCATGGAGGCAAAGACAGATGTGTGTTTCACAAAAAGGAAGTGTCCACAGGCTCAGGTGCTGCAGGGAGGGCTGGCACATCCTTTAGAATCACCATATCTGCACTTCCCACACAGTCATTGCTTGTTGCAGTCATACTTCAATGAACACTCACATAGCACATGAGCAAGGTCAGAACAAAACCAAATGTTTAGCTGAGTTCTCATCTTTTCTCATTACAAAATAATAAAATGTCTCTAAGACTGGCACAACGTATAATTTAGTTTGCTTTATTCTAATGAGATCATGTTGATGGCTCCATGTGTCACATCTTGAACACTTAAGTGACGCAGTGTGCAATTAGAGAAGTGACTCATACATGCAGACACACAAAATTGGTGGTTTTTCTCTTCAATTATCAGTTTATATTTACTGAGGAATTTAGCATGTGGCATATTTCTAGGATGGTGTAGATATGTTTAGTATACAACCAACATATGAAAAATGGAAGACCTTAACTTTCCACACATTTATAAAAAATAACATAACCACTGAGGACAACTCTAACCATGAGATTATAGCTTACTCATACACATAACAAAGTTGTTTTGGAATCATCTGGCCAGGGGAGAAATTTTATCATTCAGCTACAAATTGTCAAAACTCATTCACCCTCCTACCAAAATGTCATATTGATGGCTTAAGTCAGCAGGCAATAAAAAGGGTAAAACAAAAATAACCCATTCCTGAATCTTTTATTTGGTCTCTTGTATGTAACCACAGGGAGATTAACACAGATATATGTCTTTTGTATTAATCTTTCTGTATACATACACATATATATCAATATATATACATATATTACATATATCAACACTGAAGAAAAGTTACTTCTAATTAAATTTCCTTTTAGTTTTGTGTAGAGAAATATTTTCTTTCTTATGTCAGAAATTGTTCTAATTTAACTTGCTTAGTTCCTCTATGATGGGTTTAGGTTTCTATTTGGTATCATAATTTTTAGATTACTTACTAACTCAGCTACTGGCTATAACACATGTGAGAGTAAGACAGCATTGAGGAATCTCTTTGTTCTCTATGTTCTAATAGTATACACCTTGTACATTGTAAATGATAAAACTTTATTGAAAAAGTAAGCTATTTTACTATTAAAACAAAAAGCATTATTTTTTGTATTTTCCAGAAAAAGGCAACAACTGACATGTGCTTACATGGCTTGGTGGATAACTCTGGATTTCTCTAAAAGGTATTCAGAAATCTGTGCTCCCACTACAGCACCAGAAGAAGTAAATTTCATTTCTAAGTATTTTCCAAATCGGCTGGAATTGTCATTTATAATAGTACAGGCATTGCCAAAGGCTTCCACCAGATTGTTCACTTGTAAAATCTTCTCTTGCAGGGTCCTGTTATTAGCCTGGAGAGAACATCAAAATATTTAAAAAATGTAAAATAAGTAATTATGTATATAATAAATGACTCTTCTTTGACAAGCAAATTGTGGAAACAAACATTATGAGCATATTCTTGGCATATTGCCAGATGTTACAACCTGATCTATTTTTCCTCATCCATATATAATTCCTACTTGGTTTTCTTGTAAGGCTGAAGAGATACTCCACACTTTTCTATTCAAATAAAATTCTGTTCAGTGCCTGATTTGCCAACACAATTCACAAGCAGTCTACACCACACTGAAGGACACCTCAAGTTCTGTTGTTTCTCAAACTGAGCCCCCATCCAAATGTTTCTCAAAGTCAGACCCAGCTTCCTCAGCTGCTAACCCTGGAGCTAAGGGAGTGAAGATAATCTGTAAATTCATAAGTAGGAGATAGAATAATTGTGAAAACTGAGAATAGCTGGAAAACATAGATGATGGAGCAGAACCCCAGACAAAGCCAGAGGGCCTTCTTGGCTGTCCCTCTATCTTCTCCTGCCCTGTCTTATACCCTCTCCTCAAACAATGTTATGTTGTGTTTATTTTCTGTACTACTTTCCTTGAAATTCCACCAAGTAAAAGTATCTTTGGGTTAACAACCAAGCCCTTTTAGAAACTATCCATTCTCCACCCAGAGATTTAAAGAGATATCAGTCATTGACATTTTGGTAGGTAGATTATTTTCACTATAATCCCTTGTTAAGGTCAGTTGTAATACTGTGTTAGGGCATGGAAATTTTGTAAGTTTTGTAAATAAGAGATAGAAGCAGTAGATATTTCTGGAGCATTGGTCACACTAGAAGTCTAAGGAGACATTCACAGGGCAGTTCTGAGTGCATGGAAGGACTTTATGTAGTTCCTCAAAGAGGTAATAAGCGTTGAGAGAAGAAAATCGCAAGAATTGGGCCAAATAGGGTTTATTTAGTTAGTTAGTTTTAGTTTATTAAGAAAAAAGAGACACCTGCATAGATGCAGCCAGACAGTCTTAGGGCAAGGCCTCAATGCTGTTTGTGTCCATGAAATGGTGAGAAAATAACTCTATTCACCTGTATTTTATTTTTTTTTTCCATTTTTTAAAGATTTATTTATTTATTTATTTATTTATTTATTTATTTATTTATTTATTTATTTATTTATACAAGCACTCGGTACAGTCAGAAGCGCGGGAGGGTGAGAGAATTCACCAGAGCCAGAGCAGGAAACAGAACAGGCAGACTGATGAACTACACAAGGTCTGCGCGCCATGTGGGACCCTTGCTGGTGGCCAGGGATCGAACTGGTGCTGCAGAGGCTGCGGGCAGCTTCGCAGCCCAGCGCTCAACCATTGCGTCACCTGGGAGGCCCCATTCACCTGTATTTTAAAAAGTAGTGCAGTACTAAGTGAAGTCTGAAAGAGTACCTATCAGAAAGGTAAATTTTATGGACCTTCAATTTTTGTATTTGGTAAATCTTTATCAAGGAGATAAGTAAAAGACAGGATAAGAACCAATAAGGGTAGGATTCTAATATATATCACTATCCCGAATTAATATTAAATCCACTTTGAGATCTAGAGCAAGATAAAGAGATTAGACAAGTCTTCGGACAGCTGCAAGACAACAGCAGGTACAAGTTAGTCCATTATTGATGAGACTCTCTCTCAGTCCCCAATCAAGAAAAAATAGCAAACCCTCTTAGAAAGGCCCAGGAGTAAATCAATTCTGGTGTTCAACTCTTTATGTCAGGATAGTAAGCTGTGCCTCACTAGCCCTCTTTCTCCAAAGTTGCGTCTTATTTCACTATACTTAAAATCTTCTAGAATGAGGCTTCTCCTACAAGTAAGGAGAGGGGAAGTTAATGGGCAAGGGGGATGGACTTGAGACAGCAGCCCCAGGCAGCACTATCTTTCACTGCTCAAATGGCTCTGCCAGCAGGATCCTTCTTGAATGATGACAGGTCTGATTGGTAAGCTCATATTAACCCACTGAGCAACATTTATTTTTTGATTTTAACAAAAGCATGGAATTCTTCTGACCCCTTATTTTGAAAATGAATTAGACTCAATTAAGCAGTAGTTTTGACATGAGGAATCCTTCCCCTTTCATAGAGAGGTTATGCCGGCTATGTCTCTTGATTCATTTATGTCTGATTTTTATATATTAACATGATTTTAACCAGCCACCCACAAAAGGAGAGAAAGTAGAGAAAGTATTCAGTGAATGCATATTAGGGCTAAAAAGAGTGGAAATCACATTTATATAGCTTTGCCTACTAAGAGCGAACAAAGTTAGAATATCTTCAAAACAGAACCTGTTTTCTTTATATTATTTGTTATACTTTAAACTCCCAAAAATAACAAGTGTGTTTCATAATTTCTGCACATTATTTAGCATGGAATTTAGTGAATATTAATCAGCCAGATAAAATTCTGACAGAGAACAAATATTTCTGTTAGGACAGAGAAAAATAAATTATACCTTTCCAAGGACTGTCAGCTGTTGAACTAAAAGATGAGCACTTTCCGTTTTTCCAGCCCCACTTTCTCCAGAAATAACGATGCACTGCACAGGAGAAAAGGAACCATAAGAAGACTACATCCTCACAGAATTCAGCTGACACTCAAGAAACTAAGAGGGGAATTTTTAAGAATAGGACTCTCCTTACCTGGTCTGAAGTATCTGTTACCATAGACTGATAGCCGAAGTCAGCCATTGCAAAGATGTGAGGCGGATTGGCACTTCTCTTTGCTCCAATATATAATTTGGAATGCTAAATGTTAAAAAGAACACATTTTGTAGGGCTTTTGTTTAGAGTTCTAACTTTTAAACCAAAACATAAATACAGTTACATACCACCAAAACATCACACACGTGTTACACTCATATACCAGGCACATGTGCACGTACAAATCATCCACAGTTATGTAAAACAAAGATCTGACCTGAAATATCCCAGAAATATGATATGCCATATTATGCTATAATATCACTATGGCAGTGGTATTTAAAAGATGACTTTTTGAAGTGCATAGCACTTCAAAAGCAGAACTTAAGATATCAAAATACTATTATTTCTTGAAATAACAAGACCTTTTATAAATAAAGGAAATCAGGTATCATTCTGTTGACTGAGTCCCTTTTACATCATTTAACACTCTTTCATTTGATTTATCCTAAATCACATAGTTATTTGATAATAGAATTTGCAATTAAAGCCCAAATCTTCTGAAACTTAGGTCAAGAATCATAAATTCACCATTGTTGGGCCTCCCCGGTGGCACAGCGGTTGAGTCCCGGGTTGCAAAGCAGCCTGCAGACTCTGCAGTGCAGGTTCGATCCCCAGCTGCTCCCTGGCCACTGGAGGAGGGTCCCACATGGCGCGCAGACCTCTCCTGCCGCCCGCTGCTCCCCTTAGCAGTGTACTTCAGTCCTTCTGCCTGCTCTGCTCCCTGCTCTGGCTCTGGTGAATTCTCTCACCCTCCCGCGCTTCTGACTGTACCCAGTGCTTCTATAAATAAATAAATAAATCTTTAAAAAAAATAAAAAAATAAAATGTGGATGCTAACAATAGCATCTATCTCCCCCCCAAAAAAATTCACCATTGTTTTCGTAAACTTTAAATTGGTAGAGGGTGACAGCTATAATTTTTTACACATTAAACAGAACTATCAGGCAGTGTATTAAATAATTTCTAGAGTACAAAACTGCTCAAACAAAATGGTCCAATTAAAAATGAAAAATAGCCTAGTTTAATTTCAGAATGCCCTTCTATATTTAAACCATTAGGAGTTGAACAATGGATAAATTAATACTTATATTCATAAAAAACACAGTGTCAATATGTGAGGAGGAATTTTTAATAACAAGTTTTAAAGCCATTAAGTATCTATTACTTATACAATGTACTTACACTTTGACTCTCCCACACTTAGTTTAGAGATAGAAATTTAGTATACACTTTTTTAGGCACCTATTTATTGATATGATACATAGTGTAGTCCAGTTACTAAAAACTGGAAACAATAGTCATTCTGCACATACTTTTATAAAGAAGTCCACAGACTTGCTTTTAGATGAATTTGTCTTTCATTTTTTCCTATCTCAATGTTATAATCATAATTATTTAACTGTTCAAAATATTGAGCAAAATTTCTCTGGCATTCACCCATTTAAATTAATTTAAATATCTGAGAAGTGTAATTATTTATGCAAAGCAAGAACATCCAGGTCACACTACATACCTCTGGGGAATAAAGGCCCAGACTTTGAAAAGGGTTAAGAGCAATGAGTATATCTCCCACATACATATAAATCTGGTCTCTGGCATAACACTTCTCAAGTTGTTCTGAGACTGTGTTCTATAACAAAATAGAAAGAACTTCTTCTCTTAAAAATGATTCATGGTCAATTACAATTTTAAAAGTAAACAATAATTAAATAAAACATTTGGCCTCGACCAAGCACAGAAAGAGATATATTGACAGTAATAAAGAATACATTGATCAGCAGCTAATTTTCCACGTTCAGAACCAAGTGATGTCACAATTACTTGTATTTACCAAAGGACATATTAGATATTACATGAATATTATGTACATATAACACTTTCAAGGAAATAAGAAAATGCAGCAAAGGAAGAGAAAGAACTCTAGAAAAGAGTAGGGAAGATACAGTGAACATGATTTTAATCTAAATCAAGTTATTCAAAGTGACTTTGCAGAATATCTTAGCCTTTTACTTAGACATTTGACTTATGAGGCAGAGTGAAAAGTTCTAGAAAGTAACTTTCATAGGTGATAAATCATATAAGTACGAAGAATCAAATTTAACAGTATCAGAAATCATCATTTATAGTATATGACACAGAGCAAAAGATCAAAAAGAAAATAAAGCATAAAAAATAGAAACAAACCAACCAACCCAGGGTTTTAATATATATCAAATAGGTCAGTAATATGATTAGCGGAAGCCTTCCTTATTTTTACCACAACTCCAGGAATTCACCTCACTGGAAAATTTGATAGGTAAAAAGATTCACAAAGGTTTTGATAATATCTGACTTGCACACCTTATTCGTTAACAAGATGTTTGATATTCTCAAGACAAATTATTTTGAGGAAGTACTTGAATTGTTTATGCAACACTGACTTTACCAAATGACTACTTCTGCTCAGAAAATGCCCCTTGATTTGTTACATATATGAGCAAAATTCTCAGGCGAGTATCGAAAGCATTAATAAAAAAAACTTGATTTTTTTAAATGTAGACACATTGTTCGGTTTCTCTATCTATTGAGAGACCACTCTTATAGGTAAATGCAGCTGTTTATTCTAGTGATCTGATTATCTAGAATAAAAGGGAATGTGGAGAGAGGAGGTTGAGGTTGGAATTTATTGGCCTGGATTTATACCTTCAGGAGAGAAGTTTGATGGGATACGGAGTTTTAAGTAGAATTCAATGTCCTAAAAGAGTAGTTCTGTGAAAGCGGGGATTCTGTGATCCCATGATTGGGCCACAGACTGTGGTAGCAGATAGATAAAAAAAGAATGACACCATGCTGGAGAAATCTGGAAATCAAAGTTACATGCATTAAAACTGAAGAATGGAGAGGTACTCAGATGATAAAAAGACAAAAACAAGCAAGACTGGAGACTTACCGATGCTATTCAAAAAACTTCCTGCTCATATTACTTCTAAAAAAAATTTAGAATGCTAAAATTTAATTAAACTGAGTTTCTTACCTCATCCAAAACTTCTAGGGTTGCTAAATCATCTACATCCTTCAGATCAGAAATCAGAGATCTGCGGAAATTACCTTTCTTGGTATGAATGCGTTCATGTCTGTGGTGCAACACAAAAAGAAAGACCCTTCTGATTTGATTTGCTGAATTCAACAATAACAAATTAGCAGAAAGTAGTTTATTTCATTTTTTTCTTCTTCTTTGGAAAAATGCAACATATCACAAACTTCATGAATGATAAAGAGTCCATTATTTCTATCACCATTTATTCTATCTATCTATCTATCTATCTATCTATCTATCTATCTATCTATCTATCTATCTATCTATCTATCTAATTTGCTCTAAATTTCTATGTGGATGTAGTTTACTACAGAATAGTGAGTCTAAAAGATTTGATTTTGTTTCACTGCCAATTTTGTCTATGGTGAAGTTAGGCTATTGGTTCAAGGAATGACAACTTTAAAAATCACTATTCTGCAAAATTTAACAGGAATACAGAATAACCTATATTTCAGATTTTCTAGAGGTTAAATGTACATAGAAAATTGATTTCAGGTACTAGGAAATTTATTTTCAAATAAAACATTTCAACAACTTTCAATAACAGCAATAGCTCCTTGATTTAACTTGAAGGCTGGAGAAGTTGCTGACATAAACACAAGGTTTATTTCAGTTTTTGTGGACATGAAATTACTATCCACTTTATTTTGAGAACTGTTTTCAGTTTTTATTTTTGGACACACTTTTAAGCATCTGAATTTCTCTGTTGGTAAAGGGAATGGAACAAATAGATACGAAGATTAATAAGAATCACACCACCACTCACTCTGTACATTTTAACGGTTTCACATTGTTCAGAGAATTAAGTCACTGTTGACTTAATTCCCACCTCTCTCTATAGCCAGTCCCTCCTTTCCTGCACTAGGTTCCACAAGGACATCACTCTTGTGGTTCTTCTCTCTCCCATATCACTCATGCCCCCTCTCAGTTGTTAAAACACCCACCTCAAACAAATAAACAAAAACCCTATAACTATAAGAAAGAAAAAATCAAAATCAACAAACAACTATAAACCAGAAACACACTATGGGAGGGCGGCAGTGAAAGGAGGGATTGGGGTCAAAATAAGGGGGGTGCAATTGTATGGGGAATATAAAAATAAAAAAAAATTTCCTTTGACTTTAGTTTCCTCCATCTACTATTCCATCTCCTTGTTTTATAGTAAAAAATCCTTTAAAATATTTTCTGCACTTAATGTTATAAAATTTCTCTCCACCCATTAAGAAAACCCATTTTAATCAGGCTGTCTGCTCTATACACTTAAACAGCTTTTGTTAGGCATTAATAGCCTCTGCATTGCTAAATTCAAAGGTCAATTCTAACTCTCATTTTACTTAATCTATTAGCATTATTGACAAATTCCTTGAATACATTTATCTTTATTTCTTGCACACCTCTTTTATTTTTTTAAATTTATTTATTTATTTTCTTACATTGTTGTTAATTTTTGAACAGTATTTGATTTCTCCCCTCAGGTATAGTCCCAGTAGTTCTCCCACCACCACAGCACCTGAGATCCATCACTACTACCCCTTGAGCTCTCCCCTCCCTAGTTTTGACCCTTCTCTCACTCCCTTCCCTGCTGTTTGCCTCAGATCTGTGTCAGCTTGCAAGTTTTGTCTTTTTCTTGGCTCTTTGTTTGGTTTCTTTATATAAGGAATGCAAACTGGAAAAGAAGTAAAACTATCATTATTTGCAGCTAATAAGACAATATACCGAGAGAACCCTAAAAAAATCCATGGAAAACTAATTAAAACAGTAAACCACTTCAATAAAGTAGCAGATTATAAAATCGATACACAAAAATCAGTATCCTTCCTATATGCAAACAGTCAGTTTGAAGAGGAAGAAATTAAGAAAACCATCCCATTCACAGTTTGACAAAAAAAAAATTTAAATACGTAGGAATAAATCCTACAAAGTAAGTGAAAGACCTATGCATGGAAAATTACAAACCATTAATTTGTTATACTTTGTTTGGGTCTTTACATTGGGACATAAGCTCCATGAGAACAAGGTAGCTGCTCTTGACCAATAGTCCCAGACCCAAAGACCAAATTCTTATAAATGGTAAGTGTTCAAAATGTATTTGTTGGATAAAGGGGTGAATATTTTGCCTTTCTAAACTTCACCTACTGTGGGGCCAAATAAATTTTATTGTTTTACTCCGGTTATAAATGAAAATACCCAAAGTATGTATGTGTGTATACGCACATACACACATATACATATATGGTATATATGCTTCAAGATAATTTTCCACTTCTAACATTTGCTTTTTGCCATCTACTAGAGTTAGTTTCTATTCTTGTTATTTTGCTAAATATTTATATCCTGCAAAACAAAGTCAGAATCTTTCTCTATCATTTTTTTTCTCTTGTGAAAAATGCAGCTTGTTAACCAGATTATATTTTTTATTTGATCTGTAATACTAGAGAGACACAGTTTCAGACTATAAATATTTTCCTTCTGCGTCGTCAAAGGTCACACATACCCTTAGGGGTGGTTATTATAGCTCCACTTGTATTTCAGTTGTATACACTGAAAAAAAGAAACAACTACTGCTGCTCTGTGCTAAAATGTTATTCTCACTGTTCAGTGCCACTATCATAACCCAACAGCTTTACTTGCTTTTACTTCGGTTAAACACAGTCTTGTAAATATCAAGCTCTATAGTTTAAGACCATGATGGTGTGGGGGGAGTATAACAAGCCTTTGTTAACATAAATTCAATTTTCAGTTTCCTTATCTATCTTTAAAATCCAGGAACAAAGTTACCACTGGTATCAAAAGGAGTACAGGTTCCCACTGGTATACCCTGGAAGACCAGTTCTTGTCTCTGCAGTTTTACTCTTGTGGTCAGGGCCTCCCTGGTGGTGCAGAGGTTAAAGTCTCAGCACTATCAAGCTATTGCCAGCCACTGCAGCATGAGTTCAATCCCTAGCCAGGGTGGTAGCCCACATGGCCCAGCAGACATCTCCTGTCTCACCCACTGCTCCCCTCAGCAGTGTATTTCAGTAGTTCTGCTCCCCACTCTGTCTCTGGTGAATCCTCTCACTCCCCCACACCTCTGGCCTACACCCCAGTTCCTGTATGCATTAAAAAAAATGGTGGTAGTCACCCTTAGCTTAGAGATGAGTAAGACAGCAGAGAAGAGACACAGTTTTGGTAAGTAGAATTCTGCATGTAGAGTATGTAGAGCTACCGGTGCCACTGTGAGAATCTGGAGGCCAAACATCACTACAGAATATTCTGGTTGAGAACATGCTGTGGAATATCACACCATTTGCTTTTGTAAGGAATGATGGCACAAAGAGTTACTGGAAAGTTTCTTACTAACTTTATTACACTTCTTTTTATCCCAAGCATAATAATAATGTACATTCTTTATAAAAAAATATGAAAAATGCTAAAAAGGTATAAGAAAAATATCACCTGCATCACCAATGGATAATACTATTAATATTTTCATATCACTTTTTATTCTTTTCTATATGCATTTATTTTTAAATCAAGTTGACAGAATTTTATCTCTCTGTCAACTTATTCCCTTGGCTTCCTCTCTGGTTAGGATGGATAAACTGTCCTTGCTTTGGGCAACTTTCAGGCTGAGTCTTCCACACAGGCCCTTGTTCTCCCAGGACTCACCGCTGCTGCAGTCCCCTCAGCTGCATCCTCTGCCTTTGGCTGGTCCCCTCAGCATACAGATGTGCTCCAGTATCCCCATCTTTAAAACTCTCTTCCATGCTCTATTCCTTCTAGCTGGTGTCCTATTTCTCCTTTAACAGCTGAGCTTGAAGGAGCAGTTCATTTCCCTACCTCTTCTGGCACAGCTCACCTTCCCTCTCAGCCTCCCCAGCTACCCTCCCTGCTGAGTTCCATATTGTCAAGGTCATTCAGGAATTTTGTGTGGTCAAATTCAGCATTACTTTTTCTTGATTTTTCAGCCTTAGTTGGCTGTTCTTTCACTCCTGAAATCCTTGGTTCACATGGCTGCAGCAGACCCTATCCCCTCTTCATCCAGAGAGGGTTGTGCTTCCTCAGCCTCCTGTTCTGGCTCCTCTCCCTCCACAGGTTCCTAAGTGCTCCCTCCTCCAGGAGGTCTGTCCTCAGCCCCCTTTACTGCTCTGCCTAAACACTCACACTAGTGTCCTCATCCAGGGCCATGGCTTTAACTGCCTCTATAAGCAAATGACTCAAAACCCATCTCTAACACACACTTCCTCCAAGTCCAGCCTTTGACATCAACTGCCTACTTGATTACGTTCATGTTTTATTGGCATATTAAATTTAACCTGCCCCACCAAAATTCACGACCATGCTCCATCCTGTTGGAATAAATACAGGGAATTAACTTTTAGCCATGGGTAGGGAACAATATCCACATTTCAGGTTTGGGTTACTTAGTTCAAGCTTACCTATATATCCACACTTTTTTTGAGGGGAATCTGTAGTACATTCAAGACTATAAAAATCAACCATAAAATAATAGCATTCTATTTCAGTTTTCATTCCCAAAATGGGACTGCCATAGTTAGGTATTTTATTTCCCTCTCTTTTTGATAAAACATTGGGCATTTTGATTTCAGATTTTCATGTAAAAAAAAAAAAAACTCCAGCTGTATTTATATAAATGTATAAAAATCTACTTCAGAGTGAATCATAATCTTCTGAAACCAAAAATTCCGTTAAATGCAGCACTTTTTTTTTTTTTTTTTTTTTTGCAGAGATTACAAAACTAAAAGGGGAAGCAAACAAGATTAGGGCAGCTGAACAGTCAGAGAGCTTTACTTTTGAATTCCCCTCAAAGGCTTCACATTCTGCTTTAAATCTTGACTACTGCCCTTAGAAAATATTTCTCTTCCCTTCCCTGGCAAAGAAGATGGTTGCAATATCCATAGTTTAGGTTTGGGTTGCTCAGTTAAAACTGCTTAACTAATTTAAAAGAGAAATTTTTTTTCAATTACTCTCAATAGGCTTATTACTAAGGCCTTTGATAGGAGGACAAAAATGTATTTAGAGAGTGAAAAATAGGAA